CTCCACTCAATCAGAACAGGCAGTGGACTGGGGCGATGACATCCTTAGCGGGGTTGCTAACAACTGGATGCATCCAGTTTTCAGGGATACAGCTATCTCCAACCTAGCTTCCTTTTCCGGTGAAAACTGGATTTGGGAACTCCGCTCATGCATTTACTTTACGCCTGCTACGTTAGGTTAGGGTGATGGTGATTGGGCATTTTAAATGTAATTTTATTGAAAGACAACAAGGATATTTCAGTACCATTTAATATTACAGGATTACCCAAAACAAACAACAAGTAACATTGAAAGAGCATCTCTTCCATCTGATTTAAATGTGATTATTTCAGCACATTATTATTGTTATTATTACTGACCCAGCACAGGAAATCAGAGCAACATGACTGTATATAGACTTTATACCATGGCATTGTTGAATATTAGTGTCTGATTGGTTTGAAGGGCATTCTAGAGCGTGCATTTTTTAAGTGATAATGCCAGAGAAGCCGGTGTTTGCAGGATATATTCGCACGGGTGTTGTTAGGCCTGAGACGAAGTCGACACCAGCTTCGGGGGCATTATCACTTTTATACAACGGGTTACCAACATTTTCAAATGATGATTTACATATTTTCATTACAAACGTTATTTTGATTAATTTATTCATACAATTTCAACCTTCCACAAGATCTAGTCTTGACACAATTCTATGGTTGCTACCCAAGCCAGCTGGTCGTTCGTTCTATTGGTTCGGTTGCCAGAGACGCGACCCAGTCGTTCTGTATCTATAGACGCGACCCAGTCATTCGTTCTAAATGTTCTATTGCCATACTGGCTGGCAACATTCTTATCCCTTGCTTGCTAGCTAGCCAACTACGGCTAATTTACAGTCACGTCAAACAGTGCAACCAGAATAACAATAAAGTAGCTGCATTTGCTTAAGCTGTTTTCTAGTGACATTTATTTGGATATATTCATAACAATGAGCTAATGATGCGCGATTTCACCTGGCAGAGGAAATGTGCTCACTCGTCAGGACACTGTTGTTCAGAAGAGCTAACCAACAACAGAGCTAACACAATCGCTTCAAGCTGAACTTGGAAAGACTGCAAACTAGCTGCACTTAGTTTCATTTGACCTGTTTTCTATTGATATTTATTTGTATATATCCATAAAAATGATGCTGATTCATTATTTCATCTGGCTGAGAAAAGCTGCCTGCCTGCCTGTCTGTCTAATCCCGACTCCAGACACATTCATTACTATGGGACAGCTGGAGATCGAATTTGAATATTGAAACAATGTTGCAAATGTCGGAGAGACAGACGGCAAGGTTTCTACAAATCTCCGCTTTTGAAAACTAAATGTTAGTCTAAAAGAAATGTGAGATAATGTCTAGATGCTTTTTATAGTGGAGATTAAGTTTATACATTTGACATTTTAGTCATTTAGCAGACGCTCTTATCCAGCGCGACTTAGTTAGTGAGTGCATACACTTTTCATACTGTCCCCCCATGGGAATCGAACCCACAACCCTGGCGTTGCAAGCGCCATGCTCTACCAACTGAGCTACAGGAGGCTATACATTGCCTGGCTGGGCTGATGAGACAGTGGATTGCGCAGTCAGATGGTAACTTGTGGGACAGACACCGGCTGGAATGCGGTTTAACCAATCAGCATTCAGGATTAGACTCACCTGTTGTATAACTCCCTATAACGCACAGTATGTCAGCACGGTAGAATTCAATGCCTTTAGTTAGTTCTTACATGTTCTATGTTTGAGCTGCTTTTGAAAGCAAAAGTCTAATTTAAAACATTATTGGCATTGTTTAATTCAATTTTTGTAATAGCAAGCTGATGGTTTGGTTAGCTAAACTAGCGAGTCTGTTTGGTTACCAAGGCAAATACTGTAGCTATCTAGTAACTTGCTATCTAGTAACTACTTCAGTGGATGTTGAACACAATTCTACCTGCAAATGAACACATTTCTAGCGGCAAATGTGTTAAATTATAGCCATGGTATGAAAGGGACAATCAACTCGGGCTCTATGCGTTCTCTGGAAAATAATGCAACTCTGTGGAAGGTGAGTTCCACTCCGCTAGCGCGTCATGGAACACACCTTACACGTCGTTCATTATTTTCCATAGAATGCATAGCCCCTCGTTGATTATCCCTTACATAAAGCAACATGACTTGTATACCCTAAACCAGCTGAAGACCTTGAGTAGGGTTGCAAAATACATTTCCTGGTTTTCCAGAAATCATGGTTGGAGGTTCCTGATTTCCTTCTTATTCCCTCCTGATTCCAATTAACTTCCAACCGGGATTTAGGGAAAACCAGGGAATTTATTGAATGTTCCAGGAATTTTGCAACCCTACCTTTTGAGACAGCTATCCACCCATCCTCTTTAGCGATTAAACATTGTGACTTAACTCTCTGAATTCAGAGAATTGCCAGGACAGCATAATACAGTATATCCACCACTGCATATAGCTACCACTATTCTCATTGTCTATCAAGCTGCTCTGTAAGAAATCCCTCCGCTCGGCTGGCTCCAAAGCTGGGATGTAAGAGGTTAAGATCCAATGCTAGCTATTTTGCTTGATGTCATGATGAGGTCTGTGTAATTCCCAAAGCTCAATATAATGCCAGCCCCCTCCAATAGAACATAGAATAATAATGGTAAAGACGATTAGCTGTGGATAAAGAAGGGAATAGAAGTACCTGAGTGGATTGCGCGGGTGGGCAGGGAGCGCCCCGAGTGGACCATGGACTAACTTGACTGACCTGTTAAGTGGCCAAGCTGGCGAACCAGGCGGGTAGAGATTCATCCACTTTATTTCATTTTCATATTTAGTTTTATTTCACAGCTGATCCACATTCAAATGGACGACTGTAAGTGCTGCCTGGAGTCCATTTCTACCCCTCTGCTTCAATGACATCATGAGATTAATTTTTTGGGGGGGCTCAGTGGGTCAGTCGCTGTGACTTATTGGGACCAAGTAACCATCTAGCACGGTGTTTGTGGTTATGAAGAGCTTGTGGTCATGAAGAGTTATGAATAAAAGTGCTTGCCTGTTTGGATATCTTCCCATCTTTGGTTGGTAGGAACAATTGTTTCAGTATGTTTTACGGTGTTATGGATTGTGCGCAAAGTGGTTGTGGCCATGAACTGTTGTTGGCAAGATGGTGATGATTTATCATTGGTTCCAATAGCTCTGGGACAGAAAGTCATAAGTATTTTGTGTTTGCAAATTGATTCCCTGTGTTGGCCTACTAAGCGTTTACTTTTTTTATTTGTATTATTATTATATACATACTATTTTTTACAGTATGTATGTATGAGGGATCTCATGAAGTAGGAGGGTCATTTCTTGAAGGGTGACAAGTGTTGCACTGACGACAAAAAAAAACAGGTTTTATTCTTCAGTGTGTTTTCCCTTTCTACCAGAAACACTCAACTGTTTTGGATTGAATAAGGCAATCTATTCAGCCAGATAGTCACAACCACACTCACAGTTTACTTAAACGCCTGCACCAGTAGAAATCCACTAGCCTTCGAGCTGAAAGATGATGGCCAGAGCTTACCCATGATGTTGCACAACGATTTAAGTCAATAAGTGATCGTTTTTGTCAAAGTATGATATATTTGGGCTTGAAGTGACAAATCTGAACTGCTCAATTCGTGCAAAACCGTATGAATGCGGTGTCTTTTCCTATGATATGACATACAAATTATTTTCAGCTTATGTTTTGTTTCAGGGCTGGGTTTCATTTGAATGTTAGCACCCACCAGCATGGCATTGTTTATTAATCAGAAATAGCTGCAAAGTTCTTCCTCTTTGTGACTGAGATGAGCCAAACAGCCTTGTGGCCACTTGGCCACCTGAGCCATTAAGCAAATTAAAATAGTCGGTGTGAACTTGTGTTTTTGCGCCTCCACTTATTTTTTTTAACCAGAAAAGTATCATAATCCATTGGACAATTTTCATAAATGTTTTAGCTAGTCTGCATAAAAAAGATGTATGACAATTTTATAAATGGTATAATTGTGTGACATGATCGCATTTTGCAAATCCGCTTCCCCCGTCGCCCCAAGATCAATGGTTTTGACCACTAAAGTTTTGCTTCACTACACGCTCCACTGCTTTGATTGGTGTAACGTTAGCTAGACGTGTCTATTCAGATAATGAAAAGGCACCTGTGAAGGAAATTCAAGGAACTTAAGTTGCGGTGTACATGATCATGAGCAAAGTCATTGTAGCCTATCATTTCACTTCCCCTGTGAGAATCATGAACTTGTGCCGAAGCCTACCAAAGGATGCACCGTGTCCATTACTGTATAGGATATGTGTTTTTCTACATTGTATCTTTCAATACTTATCCATATTACCGGCGCTTCATCTTATTCTTTCTAACTGTTTCTATGGCGGATTCGTGGCTGCAATTTATGGAAGATGCCAAAACTTTGGAGATGACAATAGAGGGCGAAGTCAAAGATAGCCCGGTGGTTTCCATCTGTGGCAAAGTTTTCCATAAATCAATATTTATGACAAATCCATCTCCGGAACCAGTCATAGAGCCATCTGGCTAATGTTTTGAATACGGTGTACAAAAAACCCCCCAGCAACAACAAATAACATTAGCTAGCTAGATAAGTTTAGCAATATATAGGTAGCTAGATAAGGTTAGCATGCTAGCTACACTGACAGCTGTCAGTGCCCCATTGTTGATGTTTATCAACTCCACATGGAAATTCCCACACCCAATTCGTGAATATGTATAAGTAGCCTTCGTTATTCTTTGGAGGTGGAACCTAAATGTGCATTTCCTTTCTAGGACAGGAATTACGTCAATAGTGGCGGCAACTTCCTCTGGGGGTGGGTCCTTTAAAGACGTCCTCCAGCTAATATATTTATATATTTTATTTTATTTTACACTTTTCCTGTTGAAAAGTGATATCCAAAGTATAAGCAAAGTTTCCACCCTCTTCCTCCCCCTCTCCCTACTCCAGGAGTGCTGGCCCAGATCCAGATGCCCCAGAGGACCATGGAGGTGATCGAGGGTCAGAAGGTGGTGCTGCAGGCCTGGTATAGCCCCAGCTCCAGCACTGGCAAGAACACTGTTCTCTGGAACTTTGTGGCCAATAACACCCAACTGGTGAGTGTGTTTAGGATCTGTTTTGTTGTGTGTGGTGCCTCTGCATCTGTGCTGATCGTCTGACGATTAAGGGCTGTCCTCACTTGAGATGTGTGCAGTAACTTGAACTTTCCTACCAAACTTTAAGGCAATGCCATATTGTATAAAGTTAGTTGTTTGTGCGTCTCAAGTTGGGATATGTGTAGATCCCTTTGATCATGCACTGGTCTTGATTAGCCTGTGACTGCTGAGTGCTGTGACATCATACATCTACAATATAATGTCCCAGAGGCCAATAAAGTACCTGCATTAGCTCTGCATACAAGTTACATACATCCTTGTCAGAAGTACTTTGTACATGGAAAGGTTTTTTGGTGTAAAAATGAAACGAATCTGTAAAATTACAAAATAAATATGTAAGTCAACTTGAAATGATGAATGTATTCAATTTGGTTAGGTTTTGTTTTAATGTTAAACTCTGAAGTCTGTGACGCTTATCATTTGTCTGTTGATTATTATGAAAAATATTTTAGATCTTTTGTGCAGTTTTTGCTCAAAAGCTTCCAACGATAACTGAAAATCTTACTTGCTTTGCCATCTGTGGCCATAACGTGGAGGATTATGATCATGAAGGATGTTTGACTGCTGTTAATCTGGCAAAGCTCTTCCTTTGGAAACCCTCAAATGAATCAAATAAAAGGCTTAACACACTCCATCTATCCACTGTATTTTACCCTCGCTTGAAAATGCATAAATATGAAATTGCTTGTTTTTGCCTTTTTTCCGAAAATTAGACCATTAAGTGAAACAACACTAAACCACTTAACAGAGGTGGGGTTTTGGGATTAGGTTGATGTTAACCCTTTACAAAACAAAAACAATTAAGCAGGCGAAAGTGGGCAGCTGGCCATGACTGTCTCTCATCTGACTTTTTCCCCCAAACTTGTATCCACAGACAATGTTATCTAGGGACCTGCGTGGGTTTATACTGTATGTTTGCTAATTCCAGTTTATCCTACCGTAGTATACGGACGGACAAAGTCCCAAAGGGGATCAAACAAAGACAAAAAAATCCACTATAGTAGCACTCACCAACAGTTGATTGGGAGATTGCAGTTGTTGGCCTTGACATCGCAAGCTGCTTTGGCTAAAGGCCAAGTCATGGGGTGGTAGTCTGACATAACTAGAGAGCCTGAGTTGTGTGCCCTTATCTAAATTCTGAATCGGCCCGTTAGTCTTTAGCTCCGAAGGATAATTCTGTCTCGCTTGTTTGCGTAAAGATCTACAGTACCAGTCAAGTTTGGACACACCTACTTATTCAAGGGTTTTTCTTTATTTTAACTATTGTCTACATTGTAGAATAATAGTAAATACATCAAAACTATGAAATAACACATATAAAATCATGTAGTAACCAAAAAACTGTTAAACAAATCAAAATATAATTTATATTTGAGATTCTTCAAAGTAGCCACCCTTTGCCTCAAAGACAGCTTTGCAAACTCTTGGCATTCTCTCAACCAGCTTCACCTGGAAGGCTCTTCCAACAGTCTTGAAGGAGTTCTCACATGCTGAGCACTTGTTGGCTGCTTTTCCTTCACTCTGCGGTCCAACTCATCTCAAACCATCTCAATTTGGTTGAGGTCGGGGTATTGTGGAGGCCAGGTCATCTGATGCAGCACTCCATTACTCTCCTTCTTGGTTAAATAGCCTGTACACAGCCTGGAGGTGTGTTGGGTCATTGTCCTGTTGAAAAACAAATGATTGTCCCACTAAGCCCAAACCAGATGGGATGGCGTATCGCTGCAGAATGCTGTGGTAGCCGTGCTGGTTAAGCGTGCCTTGAATTCTAAATAAATCACAGACAGTGTCACCAGCCAAGCACCCCCACACCATCACACCTCCTCCATGCTTCACGTGGGAACTACACATGCAGAGATCATCCGTTCACCTACACTGCGTCTCACAAAGATATAGCGGTTGGAACCAAAAATCGCAAATTTGGACTCCAGACCAAAGGACAGATTTCCACCGGTCTAATATCCATTGCTCATGTTTCTTGGCCCAAGCAAGTCTCTTCTTATTGGTGTCCTTTAGTAGTGGTTGAAGGCCAGATTCACTCAGTCTCCTCTGAACAGTTGATGTGTCTGTGACTTGAACTCTGTGAATAACTTATTTGGGCTGCAATTTCTGAGGCTGGTAACTCTAATGAACTTATCCTCTTATCCTCTGGGTCTTCCTTTCCTGTGGCGGTCCTCATGAGAGCCAGTTTCAACATAGCGCTTGATGGTTTTTGCGACTGCACTTGAAGAAACTTTCAAAGTTCTTCACATTTTCCGGATTGACTGACCTTCATTTCTTAAAGTAATGATGGACTGTCGTTTCTCTTTGATTATTTGAGCTGTTCTTGCCATAATATGGACTTGGTCTTTTACCAAATAGGGACAGCTTCACAGCTGTCATCAAGGCAAAGGGTGGCTACTTTGAAGAATCTCAAATCTAAAACCCTTTTTTTGGTTACTACATAATTCCATATGTGTTATTTCATAGTTATGATGTTTTCAATATTATTATACAATGTAAAAATAAAGAAAAACCCTGGATTGAGTAGGTGTGTCCAAACTTTTGACTGGTACTGTATATGATTTGAAAGAATGTGGTTTTATTATTATCTTCTAATCTCTTGGTCATATTTTAAAGTACTCTACTTCTATTCCTACTCTAATGCACTTTTCATGGCTCTATTAAGAACATAACATCAGCTAAGATAACATCTTTGTAATGGTAGATGGTGTAACATTAAGAAAAGGCCAAAGGATTTTCTAGGGAGCTTTGCAACAATCTTCATGGCTCTTGTCCCCACCATCCACTCCACACAGATCATCTCATACACCCCAGACTCGATCAGTTTTGGCAGCCCCCAGTTCGGGGAGCGCGTGGGCTTCACGGCCACCATGCCCTCGGCCAACCTGTCCCTGTACATCAACAACACGCAGGAGTCGGACTCAGGGCGCTACCTCTGCCAGGTCATCATCCCCGGGGCCCAGGGCCTGACTGGAGAACTTAGCCTCAATGTCAATGGTAAGGACGAGGAGACCCCTTTATGTAGTTCTTGTAGTTCATATAGTTATACAGCACGCCATCTGTGTATTCTTATAAGAGCTGTATATGTATAATGAGGCAAGCGTGTACATACAGTGCATTCGGAAAGTATTCAGACCCCTTGACTTTTTCCACATTTTGTTACGTTACAACCTTATTCTATAATGGTTTAAATAGTTTTTTCCCCTCATCAATCTACACACAATACCCCATAATGGCAAAGCAAAAACAGGTTTTTAGACACTATTGCCAAAAGAAAAAATAAACTGAAATATCACATTTACATTTCAGACCCTTTACTCAGTACTTTGTTGAAGCACCTTTGGCAGCAATTACAGCCTCAAGTCTTCTTGGGTATGACGCTACAAGCTTGGCACACCTGTATTTGGGGAGTTTCTCCCATTCTTCTCTGCAGATCCTCTCAAGCTCTGTCAGGTTGGATGGGGAGCGTCGCTGCCCAGCTATTTTCAGGTCTCTCCAGAGATGTTAGATCGGGTTCAAGTCCGGGCTCTGGGTGGGCCACTCAAGGACATTCAGAGACTTGTCCCGAAGCCACTCCTGCATTGTCTTGGCTGTTTGCAGAGGGTCGTTGTCCTGTTGGAAGGTGAACCTTCGCCCCAGTCTGAGGTCCTGAGCGCTATGGAGCAGGTTTTCATCAATGATCTCTCTGTACTTTGCTTCGTTCATCTTGCCCTCGATCCTGACTAGTCTCCCAGTCCTTGCTGCTGAAAAACATCCCTACAGCATGATGCTGCCACCACCATGCTTCACCGTAGGGATTGTGCCAGGTTTCCTCCAGACGTGACGCTTGGAATTCAGGCCAAAGAGTTCAATCTTGGTTTCATCAGCCCAGAGAATATTGTTTCTCATTGTCTGAGAGTCCTTTAGGTGCCTTCTGGCAAACTCCAAGCAGGAGAGGCTTCCATCTGGCCACTCTACCATAAAGGCCTGATTGGTGGAGTGCTGCAGAGATGTGTGTCCTTCTGGAAGGTTCACCCATCTCCACAGAGGAACTCTGGAGCTCTGTCAGAGTGACCATCGGGTTCTTGGTCACCTCCCTGACCAAGGCCCTTCTCCCACAGCTCTAGGAAGAGTCTTGGTGGTTCCAAACTTCTTCCATTTAAGAATGATGGAGGCCACTGTGTTCTTGGGGACCTTCAATGCTGCAGAAATGTTTTTGTACCCTTCCCCAGATCTGTGCCTCGACACAATCCTGTCTCGGAGCTCTACGGACAATTCCTTTGACCTCATGGCTTGGTTTTTACTCTGACATGCACTGTCAACTGTGGGACTTTATCTAGACAGGTGTGTGCCTTTCCAAATCATGTTAAATCAATTTAATTTACCACAGGTGGACTCCAATCAAGTTGTGGAAACATCTCAAGGATGATTAATGGAAACAGGATGCACCTGAGCTCAATTTCGAATCTCGCAGCAAAGGGTCTGAATACTTATGTAAATAAGGTATTTCTGTTTATAAAAAATATCAAATTTGCTAAAATTTATAAAAACCTGTTTTCTCTTTGTTGTTATGGGATATTGTGTGTAGATTGATGAAGAAAAACATTAATTTAATCAATTTTAGAATAAGGCTGTAACGTAATGTGGAAAAAGTCAAGGGGTCTGAATACTTTCCGAATGCACTGTATGATCAAATGCTGAGAAGAAGACGCACACATTTTACATTTTTTTTTACATTTTAGTCATTTAGCAGACGCTCTTATCCAGAGCGACTTACAGATGTGCTGTACTTTCACTTATACCCACATAAGGTACATGCACACCACATACCTGTACACACATGTTCCTGAATGTGTACAATAGTTTGCCACTACCCTAATTCCTAAACATTATTTTATGTCATTATTCAAATTCTGTCTCTAACTCAGCATCTCATCACAAATGGTCAACTATCTCCTAAACCTCTCTCCTATATCTCAGTCCCTCCTGCTGTCCCAGAGTGCTCTCTGTCAGGGAAGCCAGTTCTGAAGGGCAACGTCACACTGAGCTGCAAGTCCAAGTCAGGCAAGCCCATCCCAATGTACAAGTGGAAGAAGACCAGCCCCCCGTCCGAGGTCTTCTTCTCTCCCATGCTCAGTGAGTAACTAACTGCTGCGTGACATCTGAAACATAGTGGTCTAGCTTTAGTAACAGTGTATTTATTGTAAATGTCCTATATTTCAGCTGTAGCATGCTCTATTTCTACAATTTGATGAGAATAAGAGCTTTGAGGGTACTGTTTTATAGTATTTCATTCAGCCAAGTTGTTGTAAGTTGCTCTGGAAAGAAATGTACTGTATATACCATAAGCAAATGTAATGACAAAGCAGAGGGTATAACTTTGCCAATGGCAAAGGGATTTGGAAAGTGAAATGTGAATTGAGGCAGTCATTAAACAATCAGGTCTCACTTTACATTAAGTGTTCTAAACTTACAGGTGCTAGGGAATGACAGTGTAGCCGCTGATAAAATAATAAAATGGATCAAATAATCTAGGTATACACTACATGCGTATGTGGCTACCATGTATCTATATGGATTTAAGGACACTTAATGTAAAATGGCACAGGCAATTAAAAGGATGGTGCATAAACAAATCTCTGAGTTTCAGTTGGTATATCTGTGTCATTGTTCTGTTTTGGTTTTGACTTGGAGATTTAATGGCTAATCTGTTTGGGACTAGATTAAAGCATATATGAGGTTGAATCCTCATTTTACTCTCCTCAAATGCACTCATTTGAACCTCTTTTCCAAACCCATAGTCAGTGTTCCCATAGTTAGATAATTTATTTCCTCCTTTTATGGTATGCAATAATTAGATAGGTATCCCACATTGTTTGGTACATTTTATTTTCTGGTTAGTAGTGATTTAATGATGAGGAAGTTCATATGATCAATGCACAGTGTCCATATAAGGACGGCAACAGTCTCAGCAGGACTGACAATGCTGTCCTAATATGGACACTGTATAGGTGTATATCGCTCTCTCTGCGCGTGTGTGTGCGTGCGTTACAGATGAAAACACGGGCACGCTGAAGCTGAGCAACCTGAGCAGCAGCATGTCGGGGAAGTATGTGTGTACGGCCAGCAACACGGCCGGCAATGACAGCTGCTACATCAACCTGGAGGTCATCACCTGTACGTACTGAAGTAGTACTGTAATAGTACAACACTGGACACCCACATGACTCACTATACACTATATGGACCAGTCAGAATGTAGAGAAATGTGCTTCCTAATATTGTTGACTCCTGGTGCGTGAAATGGCTTAGAAAACCAGAGCATGCAGATATCCAGAGCAAGTAATTTAAGAATGTATTTTAAATGGGACTGATGCACTGCCCTTCACTAAAATTGAGTTTTCCCTCATCTAATGTGCCCTCCTCTAAAAACGGTGTAATGCACATTTCACATTTATTTAAAATAATATATATACACTGTATAGTTTTGTTGTTGAAATTCCTGCACTAGGTAGCTAACTCATGTCTCTCTCTCATCTAGTACCCACTAACATTTCTTTCCTCAAAGTTGTCTGGGAGACTCTAAAATAGATGCAATTAAGCTTCTTTAAAGGAAACATAAATTTGGTGGAAAAGGCCATGCAGGGACGTTGGTTGGTGCTGCTCTGATAAATACATTCATTGACATTTAATTTAGAGGTTTAATTGCCTTTTTTGTCTGTACGTTCTTTGTATCTTTACGCTGCCACAAAGAAGTCAGCTTTCTGCCTAGTCCTTTAAAAACACTGAACAGTTACAGGCTGCTGTTTTTGCATTGTTGGGGGAAGAGAGCTGGGTAGACAGTTCATGTAAGAACAAAACTAATGTACAAAAACATGCTGCCCTAGTTTTATTATCGTTTCGACCACAAAAGGCTCTTGATCCGGCTAAAATACTTATTTACCCTGGAGAGTGAAGGGACTATTCCACGGATCTGTAGTGCAAATGTGTATATGTGTGTTTCCCCAGCGACTAACGCAGGGATGATTGCCGGAGCCACGGTGGGTTCTGTGCTGGGCTTCATATTCATCATCCTCTTCCTCGTCTGCCTCCTGAGGAGAAGGAGAGACTATGAGGAGGACCGGGCCAACGACATCAAGTTAGACTCACTTTCACACTATTGCTGTGTTGCGTGCGTTCATGTGCCCAAATGCATGTCAGCCAGTCTCTCACCCCTTCTCCCTTGCTCCCTCTCTCTCTCTCGCCCCTCTTTTTCCACTCTCTTCATCCCCAGGGAGGACGCTCAGGCGCCCAAGCGCATCTCGTGGGCCAAGAGCGGCGGCTCGGGATCGGACGTGGTCTCCAAGAACGGCACACTCTCCTCCATTACCACCACTGCCAACAGGCCTCACCAGAGGGAGCCCTCGTCCCATCACCAGCACCAACCCAACCACCACCTCCAGCATTATCCCCAACGCCCTCCCTCCGACACCGCCTCCATCATCACAGCCACAGGCAGCGTCTCTGGCTACCGCGCTGGACCACGCCATGGAGCCTCCACCCACGGCCACGCCCTGCCGGACTACGGCTACAACGTGGCTACAACCCTGCCCCGCGGCCAACCGGCTAATTCTGCAGCACCCAGTGCCAATGGTAGCCCCATGCCCAGAACCAAACACCCCCAGCACCCACAGACCTATACCCAGCCCCAGGCAGCACCTCCTGCCCCGTGCCCACCACCTCTGCCCACCATTGTGACAGCGTCCAACATCTCCCGAATGGGAGGGGTGCCCATCATGGTGCCAGCTCAGAACCAGGCCGGCTCGCTGGTGTAACGCCAGTCTGCCATGGTGCAGTGTCCCTTTACCCTTCAATGCTGTACTTACTCACATAGATTTTCAAAAGGAAAATATTAAACTTCCACTAAGATATGTCTAACTCAAGCATTAAAGCTTGAATTGGCCCTCGAAGGTGGGGCATTTGACCCGGTCAAAATGCAGTGAGATCATTAGTAAAACCTTAAAAAAGACAGACTGTGTTGCTGCACGAGGCAGTTTTATTTAATGAAGTATATGGAAGTACTTTTTTTTTAAACTCTTTTTATACTCAATTTGTATGCAAAAGATGAATAGATCTGGATTTCAAACATCTGTGCAGGATCTTTTTTTTTATTGTACTATCAATCAATGTGTTTTTTACAAAGTTTTCCAATACAACTTTTTTAAAGATTGTATTATACTCCTCTATCTACCATGTCCTATGAAGGCCATTCTATGACATCACTTTAAAACGGGGACTTGACAAGATGTCATGACACACACTGGTCCATGTGTGTGTTGCCTGTGTGTTACTGTAAGAACAGTCAATGCGTGGATCCCACTGATGTTTAACTTTTTTATGTATTCCCCACATATTGTATAATCTAAAGTGTATATTAGGACCAAATAAAATATATATACAGTACAAGTCAAAAGTTTGGACACACCTACTCATTCACACATATGGAATCATGTAGTAACCAAACAAGTGTTAAACAAATCAAAATATATTTGAGATTCTTCAAATAGCCACCCTTTGCCTTGATGACAGCTTTGCACACTCTTGGTATTCTCTCAACCAGCTTCTCCTGGAATGCTTTTCAAACAGTCTTGAAGGAGTTTCCACATATGCTGAGCACTTGTTGGCTGCTTTTCCTTCACATCCCAAACCATCTCAATTGGGTTGAGGTCGGGGGATTGTGGAGGCCAGGTCATCTGATGCAGCACTCATCACTCTCCTTCTTGGTAAAATAGCCCATACACAGCCTGGAGGTGTGTTGGGTCGTTGTCCTGTTGAAAAACAAATGATAGTCCCACTAAGCCCAAACTAGATGGGATGGCGTATCGCTGCAGAATTCTGTGGTAGCCATGCTGGTTAAGTGTGCCTAGAATTCTATATAAATCATAGACAGTGTCACCAGCAATGCACCCCCACACCATAACCCCACCTCCTCCATGCTTTACGGTGGGAACTACACATGCAGAGATCATCCGTTCACCCACACCGCGTCTTACAAAGACATTGCGGTTGGAACCAAAAAACTCAAATTTGGACTCCAGACCAATGGACAAATTTCCATCTGACTAATGTCCATTGCTCGTGTTTCTTGGCCCAAGCAGGTCTCTTCTTTTTATTGGTGTCCTTTAGTAGTGGTTTCTTTGCAGCAATTCAACCATGAAGGCCTGATTCACACAGTCTCCTCTGAACAGTTGATGTTGAGATGTGTCTGTGATTTGAACTCTGTGAGGCATTTATTTGGGCTGCAATTTCTGAGGCTGGTAACTCTAATGAACTTATCCTCTGCAGCAGAAATAACTCTGGGTCTTCCATTCCTGTGACGGTCCTCATGAGAGCCAGTTTCATCGTAGCGCTTGATGGTTTTTGCGACTGCACTTGAAGAAACTTTCTTAAAATGTTCCGTGTTGACTGACCTTCATGTCTTAAAGTAATAATGGACTGTCGTTTCTCTTTGCTTATTTGAGCTGTTCTTGCCATAATATGGACTTGGTCTTTTACCAAATAGGGACAGCTTCTGTATACCCCCTACCTTGTCACAACACAATTGATTGGCTCAAACGCATTAAGAAGGAAAGAAATTCCACAAATTAACTTTTTAAGAAGGCACACCTGTTAATTGAAATGAAGCTGGTTGAGAGAATGCCAAGGGTGGGTAAAGCTGTCATCAAGGCAAAGGGATGCTATTTGCTTAACACTTTTTTGGTTACTACATGATTCCATATGTTTTATTTAATAGTTTTGATGTCTTCACTATTATTCTATAATGTCAAAAATAGTAAAAATTAAGAAAAACCCTTGAATGAGTAGGATTGTCCAAACTTTTGACTGGTAGTGTATGTATGTATGTATGTATGTATGAATGAATGAATGAATGAATGAAGTCGGAAGTTTACATACACCTTAGCCAAATACATTTAAACTCAGTTTTTCACAATTCCTGACATTTAATCCTAGTAAAAATTCCCTGTCTTAGATCAGTTAGGATCACCACTTTATTTTAAGAATGTGAAATGTCAGAATAATAGTAGAGAGAATTATTTATTTCAGCCTTTATTTGTTTCATCACATTCCCAGTGGGTCAGAGGTTTACATACACTCAATTAGTATTTGGTAGCATTGCCTTTAAATTGTTTAACTTGGGTCAAATGTTTTGGGTAGCCTTCCACAAGCTTCCCACAATAAGTTGGGTGAATTTTGGCCCATTCCTCATGACAGATCTGGTGTAACTGAGTCAGGTTTGTAGGCCTCCTTGCTCGCACACGCTTTTTCAGTTCAACCCACACATTTTCTATAGGATTGAGGTCATGGATTTGTGATGGGCACTCCAATACCTTGACTTTGTTGTCCTTAAGCCATTTTGCCACAACTTTGGAAGTATGCTTGTGGTCATTGTTCATTTGGAAGACCCATTTGCGACCAAGTTTTAACTTCCTGACTGATGTCTTGAGATGTTGCTTCAATATATCCACATAATTTTCCTTCCTCATGATGCCATCTATTTTGTGAAGTGCACCAGTCCCTCCTGCAGCAAAGCACCCCCACAGCATGATGCTGCCACCTCCATGCTTCACGGTTGGGATGGTGTTCTTCGGCTTGCAAGTTCCCCCTTTTTCCTCCATACATAACAATGGTCATTATGGCCAAACAGTTCTATTTTTGTTTCATCAGACCAGAGGACATTTCTCCAAAAAGTACGATATTTGTCCCCACGTGCAGTTGCAAACCGTAGTCTGGCTTTTTTATGGTGGTTTTGGAGCAGTGGCTTCTTCCTTGCTGAGCAGCCTTTCAGGTTATGTCGATATAGGACTAGTTTTACTGTGGATATACATACTTTTGTAACTGTTTCCTCCAGTATCTTCACAAGGTCCTTTGCTGTTGTTCTGGGATTGATTTGCACTTTTCGCACCAAAGTACATTCATCTCTAGGAGACAGAACGCGTCTCCTTCCTGAGCAGTATGACGGCTGCGTGGTCCCATGGTGTTTATTATTGCATACTATTGTTTGTACAGATGAACATGGTACCTTCAGGCGTTTGGAAATTGTTCCCAAGGATGAACCAGACTTGTGGGGGTCTACCATTTTTTTTTCCTGAGGTCTTGGCTGATTTCTTTTGATTTTTCCCATGATGTCAAGCAAAGAGGCACTGAGTTTGAAGGTAGGCCTTGAAATACATCCACAGGTACACCTCCAATTGACTCAAATGATGTCAATTAGCCTATCAGAAGCTTTTAAAGCCATGACGTCATTTTCTGGAATTGTCCAAGCTGTTTAAAGGCACAGTCAACTTAGTGTTTGTAAACTTCTGACCCACTGGAATTGTGATACAGTGAATTATAAGTTAAATAATCTGTCTGTAAACAATTGTTGGAAAAATGACTTGTGTCATGCACAAAGTAGATGTCCTAACCGACTTGCCAAAACTATAGTTTGTTAACAGGAAATTTGTGGAGTGGTTGAAAAACGAGTTTTAATGACTCCAACCTAAGTGTATGTAAACTTCCGACTTCAACTGTATGTGTGTGTGTGTGTATGTGTGTGTATATATATATATATATATATATATATATATATATATATATATATATATATATATATATATATATATATATATATATGTGTGTAGGTGTTTAATTGCCACATACACCGGATAGGTGCAGTGAAATGTGTTGTTTTACAGGGTGAGCCATAGTAGTAGGGTGCCCCTGTAACAAATTAGAGTTACAGTGGGGGAAAAAAGTATTTATTCAGCCACCAATTGTGCAAGTTCTCCCACTTAAAAAGATGAGAGAGGCCTGTAATTTTCATCATAGGTACACGTCAACTATGACAGACAAAATGAGAAAAAAAAATCCAGAAAATCACATTGTAGGATTTTTAATGAATTTATTTGCAAATGATGGTGGAAAATAAGTATTTGGTCAATAACAAAAGTTTCTCAATACTTTGTTATATACCCTTTGTTGGCAATGACACAGGTCAAACGTTTTCTGTAAGTCTTCACAAGGTTTTCACACACTGTTGCTGGTATTTTGGCCCATTCCTCCATGCAGATCTCCTCTAGAGCAGTGATGTTTTGGGGCTGTCGCTGGGCAACACGGACTTTCAACTCCCTCCAAAGATTTTCTATGGGGTTGAGATCTGGAGACTGGCTAGTCCACTCCAGGACCTTGAAATGCTTCTTACGAAGCCACTCCTTCGTTGCCCGGGCGGTGTGTTTGGGATCATTGTCATGCTGAAAGACCCAGCCACGTTTCATCTTCAATGCCCTTGCTGATGGAAGGAGGTTTTCACTCAAAATCTCACGATACATGGCCCCATTCATTCTTTCCTTTACACGGATCAGTCGTCCTGGTCCCTTTGCAGAAAAACAGCCCCAAAGCATGATGTTTCCACCCCCATGCTTCACAGTAGGTATGGTGTTATTTGGATGCAACTCAGCATTCTTTGTCCTCCAAACATGACGAGTTGAGTTTTTACCAAAAAGTTCTATTTTGGTTTCATCTGACCATATGACATTCTCCCAATCCTCTTCTGCATCATCCAAATGCACTCTAGCAAACTTCAGACGGGCCTGGACATGTACTGGCTTAAGCAGGGGGACACATCTGGCACTGCAGGATTTGAGTCCCTGGCGGCGTAGTGTGTTACTGATTGTAGGCTTTGTTACTTTTTAAATGGGAGAACTTGCACAATTGGTGGCTGACTAAATATTTTTTTTCACCACTGTATGTACCTTGCTCAAGGGCACATTGACAGATTTTCACCTTGTTGGCTGGG